GAAGCCGGACGCTTAACCGACTGCACCACCCAGGCGCCCCAGAATGTGCATTTTTAAGAAGCTCCCAGGTGATGCCAGTGCTGATGGTCTGGACCTCATACTTTGAGAACAGCTGATCTAGGGCAACGGGCTGGACTGGATCTGGAAGAACTGTCTTGTGGTGCTGGCCTGCCACTAAGTAGTTTCAGTAAGACACTTCATCTCCTCAGTCCTCCATTTCTTCCTCATTAAACTAAGAGGGTCCCAGCAGTAGCACTGCTAGGAATTTACCCAAGGGATACAGGAGTGCTGATGCATAGGGTCACTTGTACCTCAATGTTTATAGCAGCACTTTGAGCAACAGCCAAATTATGGAAAGAGCTAAATGTCCATCAACTGATGAATGGATAAAGAAATTGTGGTTTATATACACAATGGAGTACTACGTGGCAATGAGAAAGAATGAAATATGGCCCTTTGTAGCAACGTGGATGGAACTGGAGAGTGTGATGCTAAGTGAAATAAGCCATACAGAGAAAGACAGATACCATATGTTTTCACTCTTATGTGGTTTCTGAGAAACTTAACAGAAACCCATGGGGGAGGGGGAGGAGAAAAAAAAAAAAAAAGAGGTTAGAGTGGGAGAGAGCCAAAGCATAAGAGACTCTTAAAAGCTGAAAACAAACTGAGGGTTGATGGGGGGTGAGAAGGAGGGGAGGGTGGGTGATGGGCATTGAGGAGGGCACCTTTTGGGATGAGCACTGGGTGTTGTATGGAAACTAATTTGACAATAAATTTCATATACTGAAAAAATAAATGAATAAATAAAAATAATAAATAAATAAACTAAGAGGGTCCATTCAGAACGGGATCTCCCTCAGTCCCACCGAATGAACTCTCCCAGACCTGGCCCCACTTCTGTCAGCCTGCCTCTGCCTGTCTCCACATCACTCCCACACTCCCCCCTCATGTGTTCACACAAGTACACACTGCATCACATCTTGCACGTGTATGCACACACACTAGAAGGGTGATGACATAGGCTACCTCAGAAATAGATTACAGGAGTCTTGGAAGCAGAGGTGAGGCCGAGGGGAGCTTTAGCCCACCCTTCCCCCTACTCCGTATCCCATCCAGCTTCCCTTCCCCAGCCCTTTCCAATAAACATTATCTTAAATGAAAACATCTTGCTCCCCCTACAAATACAGCCCCTCCCAGCCCACTCTCCCTTACCCCGTGGAGATCTCTGTCTGCTCAAAGTCCCTCTAACATAGAAATTTTGCAGTAGTTACTGGTTGAAAGTTTCACGTCCCTGATGCTTCTTTCTCATAAAATCCAAACTGAGTCCTAGAAATATCAGAAAATGGAGAAGTTGAGACTAGCAATACATTTATTCGGTAAATCCTCGTAGAATCCCCTACAGTGATGTTTTCGGTTTTTTTTTTTTTTTTTAATTTTTCTTAATCCCGTCATTTATTTGTATTGAAGTAAGGAACTTCAGAACATACATCCGTGTAAACAGGCGTCAAGAAGCCTAAGGTATGTGTTGGTCCGGTGTTGATTCGTATTTCCAGTAGGACAGCTTCCTGAGCTGCGTCCCCGTGCCCCCGATCCTGTTTCAGGTTTATTGTGTGACAGATGGTTTCGCTTCTGAGTGTGGAGAGTCAAGGGCCAGGAAAGGCAGTGTGCTTCGTTGGCAGGATTACACGGTCAATTGAAGTTCTCGGTGGACAGGGTTACTCATTCCACAAGTTTATGGGGTGTGGTTTATTTTTCTTTTCCTGTTGAAAATGTGTTTTTCTTTGGCTCCGGCGAAGTTGCCTGCCCTGGGTTCGGAATGGCTGCTCCAGCAGGGCTCTCAGGCCTTGACCTACTTGCATTAATGGCCAAGGAAAGTTGTGAAGAACTTAGCCCAAGGGGCGGAATGGCGTGACCCAGGGAAATGGCATGACTGGGCATTGGCAGCCTGGCTGGTGTTCACTGAAGAGGTCACAGCGCTGCAGGGACACGAAAAAAATCACCTTGGGTCCTTTGATTACAGAAATCAGTACAGAATTTGCTAACCAGATTGTCCTATTGGAGAAAATTCCCATAAGGAAATTTCCTGGTGATGGAAGTTACAGTGAATGAAACCAGTTTTTTAACATGAGGCATATTTTTTCAGTTGTGGAAACTGAACATTTCTACTTGAATCAATGGGTGATATATTCCCTTGCCCCAAAAGCTTGGGAGGAAGCCAATATATATGAAAAACACTTAAAATGAGCACGTACCTCTAACTGACACCCTCATGTGTATTGTTCTTAATAGAGAAAAGGCTAATGGTGAGTTTTGGATTCGGAGGATATGAGAAAGGAACATTCATTATTTCTACTCCCTTAGTTAACCAGATATGTGTCACAAATCAAATGTGGGTATTGAATATTACTTCTTTCTATAAAGGTTGTTTAATTTTTTTTAACTTTATTTGGGGGCAAGAGGGGCACAGAGAGAGAGAGAGACAGAGAGAGAGAGAGAGAGAGAATCCCAAGCAGGCTCCATCCACGCTGTCAGCATAGAGCTGACATGAGGCTCGAACCCACGATCTGTGAGATGATGACCTGATCTGAAACCAAGAGTTGGACTCTTAACCCACTGAGCCACCCAGGTGCCCCTATAAAGGTTGTTTTAAAAAGTATTAATCTTGGGGTGCCAGCGTGGGTCATTTGGTTAAGCATTTGACTTTGGCTCAGGTCATGATCTCATGGTTGGTGGGTTTGAGCCCCTGCATCGGGCTCTGTGCTGACAGCTCAGAGCCTGGAGTCTGCTTCAGATTCTGTGTCTCCCTCTCTTTCTGCCCCTCCACCACTTGGGCTCTGTCTCTTTGTGTCTCTCAAAAATAAACATTAAAAAATTTTTTTAAAAAAAGTAATTATCTTGAAGGAGTTGACATTTCTGGATTCTGGTTCAAGTAGGAACATTGGGACTTGAGGCTTTTCTCATACATCCCTCCCAGGGCAGTCAAGACTGTATCCCCACTTCCAGCTTAGTTTTCCACCTGCTCCTCACCCACCCATGCCACAGACTTTCCCATCGTTGTGCCTTCGCTGCCACTGTGCCCCCTGCCTTTCCCTCCTCTGCACCTGGTGAGTTCAACTCATCCTTCCAGACCCAGGGACATGTCACCTTCTGAGAATCTCCTCACTATGAAAAATCCACCTCTTTGTCTAGTTTGCTGTCCTGGTTTACTTATTGCACCTGTGTGTATATTAGAATAATAGCAGCTTTATGTCACGCATGCCAGGAGCCAGCTGAGTGCTGTACGTGGAATATACCCAACTAGGAAGAAAGAACTCACATCAGCATCCTCACTTAATAGGAGTGGAGAGTGAGGCATAGAGAGGTGAGGTAGTGGCAGAGCCAGGGGCATACCAGGAACCCAGCTCCGGAAGCCGGCTGTGAACCACTGTGCTGCCTGCAAGGTCTTCTGCAGGAACCATGGCAATGGCCTTTTCTTGTTCGCTAGCACCTTGCAGTGCACTGTGCAGACTGACACATGACAGTATCCGCAAGCGTGCATCCTGGTTGGAAATGTGGCTTTCGTGAGAGCCCTGCTGGAGAGACAGCTGTCGGGCTCCTACATGAAGTGGTAGGGAGGCTGCTGCTAATTGTCTTCCCAGGGCAGCAGTTGACCAGGGGCCGTTCTCCGGGAGCAGGAGCCATCATTAGTGCAGATGACCCCAAATGTGCTCAGTGGGGAGAACGGGAGCTGCCTCCCTGCCACAGCACAATGCTGACACCATGTCCTCAACAGAGAGAGGAAGCGTCCTTTTTATTCCTTGTTTCCCTCAAATATCGTGTTTCCAAGTGTCTGTATTCAACCAGCCCACATAACATCTGCATCGAAGGCCCCGTTTCCCTCCACGAGGGGCGATCAGAAGCTAGTGTCCAGGATCTGCCACTCGGCTTCCGGGACACCGTGCTTCTCAGGAACGGGCGAGTTCTCACAGTTGACAGGTCTGTGCACCACCCCAGACCGCCCAGGCTACTAAACTAGAATCCCCAAGGTGTGGGGTATGGGGCGTTTTCTCTGATAAGAAAATCCCATGTGGGAACATTAATCTAGTAGTGCCTGCATCCGTTGTCCAAAACATGCTGACAGTTATAAACAACTTAAAACTGTAATTTCAATGGTTATTAGAACGTTTTTAATTTGGGCATTTCAAATTCATCATTTTGCATGCCCTTTCTTACACTGTATCTGAAAAGCTTTAGAAGTATAATCTCACTAGGTGTAGAGTGACTATTAAGGTTGAAAACAAAAATAGCTCTACCGTCATTTAATTACAAAGTTAAAAGTTGTATCCTTGAGAGGCACCTGGGTGGCTCAGGTGGTTGAGTGTCCGACTCTTGATTGTGGCTGAGGTCATTATCCTGTGGTTGTGAGATCAAACCCCGTGTTGGGCTCTATGCTGAGTATGGAGAAGTTTGTTTATTTTGAGAGAGAGAGAGAGACCACACATATGTGGGAGAGGGGCAGAGAGAGAGAGTGTGGGGGGGGGGGAATGAGAGAATCCCATGCTGGCTCCAAGCAGCACAGAGCCCGACGTGGAGCTTGATCTCACCACTGCGAGCTCATGACCTGAGCTGAAGTCGTGAGTCAGAGGCTGAACCAATTGAGCCAATCAGGTGCCCCTAAAATATTTTTTAAGTTAATATTACATAACCTGATGATCAGCTCAGACTCTGAACCCTATAAATTACCGTCTTTTTTTTTTTTTTTTTT